AAAAAAAAAAAAAAAAAAGAAAGAGAGAGCACTGAGCTGAGATGCCATTAACAGACCCTTCTGACTTCCTGGCTCCAGACAGATGCTAGGATACAAGAGGTCCCACACTCGTAAGAGAACACCAGCACACTGCACTTTCCATGAACAGGGGCATAGAAAAAGCAGTGTGTGGGTAAAGTATTTTAAGTCACCTCAAGCTGCTGAATTGGTGTTTCATGGAGCAAACTATTTATATTGTACCTCAAAAGCAAGAAGTAGTACTCTGAAAAATATAATCTATAAATAAGCACTAATACAATACAGATGACTAAGCACAGGGAGAAGAAATAAACCAAAGTTAAAACCAGAAAAAGAAAGTTGGCTGCTGACAGCCTATATTAATGTTAACACTTGGGTCATTAAAAAAAATAAAAATGCAGTAGCAATTATAAATATACTACAAGCATTTTGTGTGTTAAGCAAATAAAGCAAAATGATTAAGGTAATGATCAGGTTGTTTCAGTGAAGACATCAGCAATTACACAAACTATTTTATTGGTGTATTAAATACTCTTCAAATTGTCAAACCTGGATCTGCTGTAGACAGTCTATGAAGAGACAAGATCACAGCAGTTGTTACCACCCGAGGTCTCAGAAGACAGTGTTTTAGAGAGAAAGGTAGACAAATGGCCCAGGCAAGCCCTTGAACACAGCTGTAAGGCAAGTCCTGTCATAAGTGAGACAACATGCTGAGTAAGTAGGCACTATGGACTTCCTTTAGCAGCAGCTTTTTATGTGAAAGGATATTATCATCTAGCATCTGTTCTGAGATTCCTGTGACTGAGAAATTCAGTAACAAGGTCCCCTGGAGTTTAACAAAAAGATGGGGAATACATACAGACTGCAGGGTTTCATGTTTTCTATTACACTTACCTCCACTGCAATGCTGCTGCTGTCTTCTGTCAAAAGAAGGCTGAAGCTTTCCAAGAGAATTCCGAAATGGGAATACTTCCAAAATTTAGTTCGCTGTGTCAGTCAGCTACTCTTTCTTTCATCATTTGGCTCTGCCTGTTCTCTTCCTGCTGTTTACAGATACTCAGTACTGAACATCAAGGCAGAAGCCAAGATGAAGAAAAACACTATAAGCTTGATCACAGCAATAGCCTCCAAATCCTGGCCTGCACTCAGATCCTCTTCCCTCCCAGCTTTACAAGCATAGATACCAATTTCACTAGAGAAGTAATAAAGGCATAATTAAAGAGATGACAATAGGACCCAGCAGACATATATTTTTCAATCCTAGCCATAGCTGACAGCGTAAATAGAAGAAACTAAAACTACATAAAAATTATGCTCTTAGAGATATCATTCTGTCAAAAAACGTAAGCAATAATAAATGTTCTAGGAAATATTCTAGGCAGTGTAAATCTCAGTAGTAACAGATGCTTCAGAGCAACATGACAGCCATGCAGAGTTTGCCACAATTACTTAATGCTGATGAAATATAAGCAATGTCCTTCTGCACCCCTGCCCTGCTTCAACTTCAAGGTAGCTCCAAGTCATGTTCCAACAAAAATATAGACAGAAAGGAAAAGAAAAGTAATGAGGCAGCAAAGCTCCACAGGGTGTGGTTATCATC